CTAAATTTACACATGTATACTAACATGTTTTTAAAATTTTTGGGTTCTTGTGCATACTTTGGAACAAAGCAGCTCCACCACCGTTTATGACCCATTCTTGTAAGTATTCAAACATGATCTCTTTTTTAAAACTGTTTTTGCTTCTCCAACTAGCAGAAAGAAACAGATATTTAAGTGTTTAGGTAAAATTCAGAAGTACTTGAGAGTGTTCTAAACTACTCCTAAAATCATTAGGAGTGTTCTAAACTACTCCTAAGATAGGGGAAACGTGTTTTTGAAAAACTAATTAGGAGCACAAAATAATTCCTACATTAGATAACAAGGACTTTTAAACTTAAATGACAAGCTGATGATGATGCCGCATGCATATGATGAGTGAGGCCATGGAACAACACACAGTACAGTGTATATTTGGACGTGGAGCAGGGACAATAACCGTCCCACATATTGTCAACGTCCGTTTAATGCACCATAGCCCATGTAACAAATTTTAAATTAAAAATGTATATTAAGAACTCGGTGCTCGTTTGGTAGCATTGAAATTGGTTGAATCGGTTAATTCTGTTGAAATTTATGAAACTCTGGCTAAAGTTGCTGCATTGGCTGATTCTGCTGATTTATGAGAAAATTATATTTAAAATATTTTTTATTAATAAAATAAAGAAAAAATTATATGAAAAAATGACTAAAATGATAATCCACAGTAACTTTAGTCAATATAGCCAAAGAAAATGAACTACAACCTTACTTTTTCTTATTAGTACACAATTCAACGCGCGACATCAAAAATTACGTGTTTGATGAAAAGTTGGCTAAGAAGCCCGATAAGTCAAAAAAACAGTGCCACCAAACGGGCTCTAAAAAAGCATTAATAATTTTTTTATGGTAACTATAGAATGAAAGCTAAGATTGAATTATTGGATAAAATTCATATAGTACAAGTGTTGAATTCATTATCTCGATAATTTACATGTGCTTTCACAACGGTTTAACTCGTTCTTTCATAATGTTGTGGGGATTATTTGAACTAGACTGGTCTGGTTTGTTAAATGTTTGATCTTTGTCTATTTTATAACTCGGAAGTCTGTTTGATTTGGTCTGGTTAAGTTTTGTCTGGTCTAGTTTATTTAAGTCTGATCTGGTCTAGTTTGAGACTGAAAACAGTCCAAACAAAAACATACTAACAGTTTAATTTCGAGTAAATTCTCTAAATAGGAGTAAAAAAGTTTTGAAATTTCAAAATAGGAGTATCATGTTTTTTATTCCCTAAATAGGAGTAAATTTCTGCCAAGTTTGACATTACTAGGCTTTTAAACATGGCATTTTGTTCCAAACTTGACAGATTACTCATATTTAAGGAATAAAAAACATGATACTCCTATTTTGGAATTTCAAAACGTTTTTACTCCTATTTAGGGCAATTTCTATTTAATTTCTCATTTTTTTTATAAATAACTTAATGAAGGACATTTATTATAAAGGAAAATATAATCACTAAAATCCCAAAGTACCTTCATATCCCTTTGTCGTGGATGGCCCCCTCACCAAGTCCCATTGCTGCTTAACCGTAATGATACAAATTAAATTAAATTAAATTATATACCTAGTATAATTTAGGAGAAAGTACGGAAAATGTACTTGTGATTGAGTCTGTTTTCAGACAGGGGCATGTGTTTCATTCTTTATCAAAGTAGTTCATGTGTTTGAATTTCGTTATCACAAGAGATCACGTCGTTAAAAACGTCTGAAAAAGACCGTTAAAGTAAATTCGATTTTCAAAAGTGCCCGAAAAATTAAAAGAAAAATACCGAAAGGTGCGTCTTGTCAAGATGACCTCCAAACCACCTTTGCCTTTGGATTGGCTTTTAGTCCTATATGCATAATTAACTCTTTGATTTTGGGGGTTAAATTGTTCGAAACTATATATATAGAATAAGGATCAAATAAGAAGAGTGTTTATCGTAAGAAGTGAGAATGCATCTGGTGCATTCAATTTAAGATATGTGCATCAGATTAGCAAAAAAATGCACGGGAAAGTGCAAAAAATATTTAAAAAGTGATGTTAGATGAAGTGGCATATCCGTAATTAATCGGAACTTTTCTGCCATCGCAAAAAGTGCATCAGATTAGCAAAAAAGTGCATCACAAATAGGTAAATGTGTAACTTATCACTTCTCACGTTAAGATGTCTTCTCATTAGAACCCGACCCTATATATATATATATATATATATATATATATATATATATATATATATATATAATGAAGATGGATTATGAAGTAGAGGATCATCTCAGAAATCGGATACTAAGATTTGTGTTCAGTAGGGCTGCACATCGGGGCGGGTTGGGTCGGGTGTGCTATATTTTTTGGGTCTACCCGATTTGTTCGGGTTGACTATTATTCAACCACCGGTACGCAAAATAAGTTGGTAAACCATGCATGAACGGATCGGGTAGAGTCGGGTATTGAAAAAAATCACTTTGGCTTGCATCTTTATGTTGGATATTAACGTAACCAATTTAAAACTCGATTAACTTGTTTTCAAAACACGCAAACAAATACAAGTACTCGTAACTTTTATAAGCAAAAACATTAGATAGTACCCGTAAAGGGAGATCATTTAGAAGGAAACATAAATATATAATAATCTCCTAGTCAAAATGGTAAATGTTTAATTATAATTCTGGTATCATAAAGTTCTAGATAGAGCACATTAGTCTTAAATTGAAATTATCCAAGAAGACATTGTAGCATAACAATAGTAAAATGAACTTCGGCCGAGTCGGGTACTATCGGGTTGGAGATTTTAATTCCACAACCCTACCCATTAAGTGCAGGTTCAATCATATTTAACCCATGAATAATTTTAAAAATCAAATACCCGATTAAATAGGGTCGGGTAGAGTTGGGTCGAGCGGGTTATGCGGGTTCAGGTTATTCTTGTGCAGCCCTAGTGTGCAGTGCCAAAAGGATCATCTGAAGAGTTGTGAGCTCCTATGCCTTTTCAAGTTTTGTACTACCTCCGTCCCATAATTTACTTCCAAAATAAAGTGGCATGCGGATTAAGAAAGTGAGAATTGTGTGGTGGAGAACTGTGCAGAGGAGAGAGAGAAATGTTGTGAACCACAAATTCTTTGCCAAAAAAGGAAAGGGAAGTTCTTTTTGGGAGGGACGAAAAGGGAAAGTTGGAAGTATTTTCAAGGACGGAGGGAGTAACAATTATGTGTTAATTCAGATTTGTGGAAGGCTTAATTAAAAAAAAAGTAATAATTACTACCTCCGTCCCGATATGATTGTCCCATTTTACCTTATCGGTCCATCCCACTAAGATTGTCCCATACGAAATTTGGTAAAGTTTGTGAGGCTATAAATCATTCTTACTTTATTCTTACTTTATCAATTCAATATCAACAACATAAACCACTTTTTATTAATTTGCGTGTCACTTTCTCTTGTCCCATTGTTAGTGGGACGCAGGGAGTATATATTTGTGATTAAACTAAAAATGTGACAAGATATGTATAGTATAATGATTATAATAGTGACTTAGTCATAATAATTTATATTCAATTTTTACATTTTATGTCTATCATTATCATTATAATATACTACCTCCGTTCTCTTTTAATTGCAACATTGGACTTTTTGTACTATTCACATATTCTACTTTGACTATATTTTACTTATTAATGTATTACACATTAATTTTTTTTTAAATATTATTAAATTCTTCTCATTTTAAATTTTCAGAATCTGAATTTTTTATTTTTTTTTACTAATAAGGAATGAAATATATTAATGGTCAAACTTGTGCGTTGATAAACGTGAAAAGTGGACTATTGCAATTAAAAAAGAACGGAGGAAGTAATAATTATTAGTCATATTTTTGTAAATAAGTTTTATTTCAGTAACTAAATTACTATCAAAAACTACCTTTGCTCTCTTGTAAATGTAACATTGGACTTTTCGCACTATTCACATGTTCTATTTGACTCTATTTTATTTACTAATATATTATAAATTAAAATTTAAAAAGTATTGTTAAATTCCTCTCATTTTAAATTTTCAAAATCTAAATTTTTTAATTATTTTACTACTAAGGAATGAAAGATATTGATAGTTAAACGTGTGTGTCGACAATCGTGAAAAAGTGAACCGTTGTAATTAAAAAGAAACGGGAAAGTAATATTTTAACCCATGCTTGGGGAATATTTTCACACCTTGCAACGCGCGGGTGAAAAGATTAGTCATTTATATGCATTGTGCTTTCACTTGGAGATTGATTTAAATTTTGGGTGTTTGGACAACACTATTTTTGAACAAATAAGACCCGATAAGATCTCATAAGACCAAACTGAGATAAAACTTATTTACACAAATATTCCCTCGTCTCAAATTGTTTGGGGAGTACTACCTATTAAAATAAAACTTATTTACACAAATATTCCTTCGTCTCAAATTGTTTTGCAAAGTCAACATTTTTTAGTCCAACAATAATAAAAGTCAATGCTCCCTATCGATAACTAATTCAATTTTTAATAATTAAAATTTATATTTTTAGAAATTGCATTAACATTTCTTCAAAATTGTAAACTTCAAATTAGAATGTAATTACAATTGACATCCTAAGTAAGCAAATAAAATGAAACTGTTTGACCAAGAAAAGTTAATTTTGCAAATCAATTTGGGACAGAGGTATTATTTCTATTAGTTACTATAATGTAGTAAGTTAAGTTTAAAAATTGAACATAAGTTACTATAATTTCATTACTACTATAATTACTAATCATATTTTTGTAAACAGATTTCTTTTTAGTCATAATTATGTAATTATTTTATTAATTAACTCAATAATAAATAAAGCTGGCCTGCCTGTCTGCCTGCTTTCAACCAAGTAATAACAAGCACTCGTAATAATAATGGTGCTAATAATAATACGAGTGTCGATCTATACATACATATATATACAGATATAAACAAGCTAATTATATAAGCTAAGGCAGCTAAACGGCAAAACCAACAAATGAAATTCCGGCGGCACTTAGGATGCATGGATGGTGGGAAGGTACGTAGGTAAGAGAAGAATTGAAGATGAGAAGAGTGGAAGATCAAGAAGATGATGAAGGCGGTGAAGGGGCGGCGGCGGGGAGGTCGCCGTCGAGCAGCAGATGCCTGGACTGCGGGAACCAATCAAAGAAAGAATGCGGATTTATGAGGTGCAGAACGTGTTGTAAGAGCAGAGGGTTTGAGTGTGCAACGCACGTGAAGAGCACGTGGGTCCCCGTTTCCCATAGAAGGCTGCAACGCCGCTCCTCCAGGCTACTCCGCCTTGCCAACCCTAATAATCGCTTCATGCAGCAGCAGCCCCCGCCGCGGCACCGCCAAAATCTGCCCATCTTCGGTACTTACTTCCAACCCGCCCACTTCACCAATAGTTCATAGACGTAGTTCTATCTAAAATCCAAATGTTTGCGGCATGGGTGGATCCAGGAACGGGATGTGGGGTGGGCTAAGTCGTAAAAAAAGTTGTTACAGCACACAAAATGTTTAATTTATGGTTGTTATCGAAATAATCAAATAGATTTACAAAACTAAAAAAAATACATAATAACACAGTCACAAAATAATACAATGTTTCACATATAAAATACAATGACACAATCGCTCCAGATCCTCGGTTCATCAAATATTCAAATAGATTAACAATGTTTCACAAAATAATACAATGCTTAACAAATAATGCAATGTTTAACAAATAATACAAGTTTAATCAAGAAAAATAGTGTAAAAGAGTAAATGAATTTAGAGTATACATGGAGATAGAGGCAAAACGAGTCGGACTAGGAGAGCCGGAGAGGGAAGACGGCCGACACAGGGCCCTGGACGCATGGACGGCGGGCGGCGGCTCAGCAGTTGACCAGAGATCGGATGGTGTTCGTCTTTGGTGTCTCCGTCGCAGCTCCGCTACTCCCTCTTTCACCTTCATGCTTCGCAGCTCCGTCGCAGCTCCGAACTTCTGGCCGCATGTTAGCTTGAAGTAGTTAAGTGGAATAGTTGATAATAGAATTGGATTGGACTGGGAATTAATTTTGGGGTGGGCTAGGAGTTAATTTTGAGATGTGGTGGACATTAAATTTATGCATATACTAATTAAAAAAATAAAAATTGGGTTGGGCTAGAGCCCACCCCTGCCCACACAAGGATCCGCCCCTGATTTGCGGACTTGACACGATATAAAAAAAGTAGAAGTGGTGAATGATAAAAAAGTAAGCTAGAAATTAAAGTGAAAAAGTATAACAAAGAAATGGCTCAATTAAAATATACTTCCTTCGTTCTTGTTTTGTTGTAACATTCACTTTTTCACGTTTACCAATGCACAACTTTGACCGTCATTATATTTAATTATGTATTAATAAAAAATAATTAAAAATCAGATTATGAAACTTTATAATGAGATGAATCTAACAATATTTTTCAAAAAAAAAATAATTCACACATACACATTTATAAATAAAATGTAGTCAAAGTAGAGTATATGAATAGTGTGTAATTTGCAATGTTGCAACTAATGCGATACAGGGATAGTATGTAGTAATACTTTGACTCTTTAATTCTCTAGCTAAAGCATTGTTTGCAACTGCTTCTCAAAAGCACTTTTGTGCTTTTTTGTTCCCAATAGTCAAATTTGGTGTTTGCAAAACACCACCTCTCCTTTTTTATTAGAACTTTTTAAAGCATACGTAGTTGCAAACACTCCATAAATATTGGCTATAGTTAGATTTCACACAATATATATACTCCGTATATATAAAGCGTAGTGAATAATGTAGAAAAAGTAAGAGATGAAAGGAAAAGTATGATAGAGAATATAAAAATGCGGAGTAGAAAAAATAAGGGTACATAAGCGAAAAGTGTCACAAACATATCAACACTGAGAGAGTATTCAAAATTTTAACATAGGTCATGGTTTTTGGGTAACTTTACACTGTTCAGCTCATTTCTTCATAATTTTTCATTGATGTGGTGCATACATGACCGAAAGAGTGAGGTGCAAATTCAAATTCCTACTTTATTTAATTCTATTAAAAGAATAACAAAATTTTCATAAATAGGAATGTTTGAGTCCTATTTTGGAAGCAACACAATGTTATTGCTACTTGAGAATATATATTACTCCCTATCTTCCATTAAAATTGTCTCATCTTACCTTTTCGAGAAATCTCACTAAGATTGTCTCATACCAAATTTGATAAAGTTTATGTGCATCTAAGTCATTCTTACTTTATTAAATTTTATAAATTTAATATCAACAACAGTATTATGCCATATACTTTATGCGGTTGACCAATAAATACGGAGTACTCCATAATAACGAATGTATGACCAGTTGACCACAATAATTTTTATGTGGCAACTCCGATACTTATTTAAAAAATGCGGTACCGTACCTATCATTCATTTGATTGGTCTACATCATTATATATATCATTTTTAATTTAGATTTAAATAAAGAAATTACAATATTCTCATTTTTCTATGTGGACAAAGATACGATACCTTATGGGCACCATAGAATCTACCTAATTTTTAATGATTATAAATATAAATATTGGGATGCAGGAGCAGATGGGAGCAATTTTCCGGCGGAGGTGAGTTTTCCGGCGGTTTTTAGATGTTTGCGTTTACGTTCCGTTGACCATTCTAGGGAGGATACTAATCACCAATATGCATACCAGACGTCAGTCAACATAGCCGGCCACGTCTTCAAAGGGATTCTCTACGACCAAGGGCTCGACAGCCGCTACAAGATAGGCGGAGCGGGTTCCTCCGGCGGCCGTTTACAACAGCTCGGCACTTTGATCGATAGTCCCTCAATCCTCCACAGCTACCGCGAATAATGTTTCGCCGCCGCTTTCTTACCCTGCTACTTTTACTAGTGATTCTATGCGTGTGAAGCATTTCCTCCCATTCCCAGAATCATAGCTCCCAAATTTCCTCACTTTTTTTGTCCATTCAACCCCGGCCCCAATTCAACTATTGTTATATACTCCCTCATAAAATTATTTGAGATTTAACTTGAATACAAATTTAAGAAAGTGTTAATAAAGTCAAATGTGCAAATGTTGTGGTTGAGTAAATAAAATAAATAAATATTATCTGCACAAAACTTTTAGTTGTGGGTCTGTAATAGTGGAAGTATGTGGGCCAGGGTCCCTGGGCCATATACCTCATCATATATATTTAAACTAAAACTCCCTTCGTTCTTTTTTAGTTGCAACGTTAAACATTTTACATTTGCCAACGCAAGTCTTTGACCGTAATTATATCTTAATTCTATTAATAAAAAATATTAAAAATCAGATTTTGAAAATTTGTAATGAGATGCATTGAACAATATTTTAAAAAATAATAATTTTCATAAAATAGTAGCGTAAAATGTAGTCAAAGTAGAGCATGCGAATAGTATAAAATCCAACATATTGCGATTAAAACGGAACCGAGGATAGTATATTTATGCAAAATTAATAATCTTATACTTTTATGATAGTATTTTTAACAAAGAACATTTTCATATCATTTTCATATTATTAATATTTTCTCTATATAAACATATAATCGGTCAAAATTAGACGTCATTGACTTGAAAAGTCAAGTTTGGTTAACTAAAATGAGACAGAGGGAGTAGATAATGAGAGAATGTTAAATACTTAAATAGAAGTAAATAAAAATTGAATTGTCAAAATATGAATGAAGTTTAAAAATTCCATAAATAGGAATTGTTATTTCTTATTGGACAGAAGTACCACTGCAGGTGTTGCAGCTACTGCATGCCCACGCCCACCTAGGGGTGGACTCGGGCCGGGCCAACCGGCCCGGAACCGGACCGGCCCGCTACTGTGCGGGCCCGGACCGACCCGCTACTCTGCGGGTCCGGACCGGCCCGGTGAACCGATTGGTTGGCCGGTTTGGGCCACCCGACCCGGTGGGATCTCGGTTCGGGCTCGGGCCCTTCAAAAGGTGAACCGGCCCGACCGATTCGGGCCTGGGCCGGGTCATTTTTTTTTTAAGTTTTTGGGTTGGGCTGGGTATTTTGGGCCATTTGAGGTGGTTAGGGTTGGTTTGGGGGTGAGGGGGAGGGTTGGGGGTTAACGAGGAAAAGCCAAAAAAAAAAAAAAATAGAACCGAGGCCCGGCCCGGCCCGGACCCAGGGTTACCCGGCCCGGCCCGGACCCAGGGTTACCCGGCCCGGCCCGGACCCAGGGTTACCCGGGCCGGTTCCGGGCCTTCCATACCTTGAACCGAGGCCCGGCCGGTTCAAGGCCCGAACCGGGCCCGGCCCGAACCGAGTCCATCCCTATGCCCACCCCACTGCGGCTGGACGGCCACTACCTATCGCTAGATAGCCGTTATCGGAGTTCCGTCGTCAGACAAGTCCGCCACTAACGGACTGACTTTGCTTATGCAAGAAGTTGGGGACCAATTAATTATGCGAGTATTAGTTAATTATATTAAGAAGGGCAAATTTGGTTTGTTAAATGTTTGATCTTTGTGTATTTTATAACTACGGAAGTCTGGTCTGATCTGATTAAGTTTACTTAATGTTTTTCTTTCCTCTTCTTTTTCTTAATTCCACCATCAATATATATTTTCTCCTTTCTTCATTGTCATATTTTTGTACATAAATCCACCCATTAATTCCATCAATTGTGGTAAAAACTCTTTGTGATAAAAAGATTAAAGAAAAATAAAATATTTAGGAAATGTAAAGAAAAATAAAACGTACGAGAAAATGTAATTTTTTCTTTCAATTTTATTTTTCCCTAATCTGTTTGTCACATAAGTTTTTCCCATTGGTGATGAAATTAATGAGTAGACATACTTAAAAAAATACACGACATTGGAGAAAGCTAAGGAGAAGAAATATATTTGATGGATTATAGGGTATCCAATCTATATAATTTAGGGGAGATTTGAGCTAATAGACGGAGAAGATGATGAATAGTAATGTATGAATGAGTTGTGTTCTAGGTTTACAAGAGGCTCCAAGAGGAGTATAAATAGAGAAATAATGAGTCGGACCGCTAATATGGGCCCGATATGCCCAACTACATAAAAGACTAATCTAGTACATACAAATGATATATGAACAGTACAATAATACAAATGACATCCGATAAGCATGTGTGGGCCGCCGTCCAGGCCCAATAGTCGTGAAACCTGGGGGTCCGAGTCTATATACTCTATCAGGAGTCCCTCACTCCCTGAGTCGGGAGTACTCGAGACGAAAGAGAGTGGAATTGTGTGTTGATCTGTCGTCGTCTGATGAGTAAACATTGTGAAAAATTTTGAATTTGTGCTTCTTCGATTAACAGATGCGCTAAGTTCCCTGCTCCTCCAGTCCCCCACTCATTGAGGTGAATGTAGTGAGGTGAAGAGTAGTAGAATAGTGCATGTCTCGTGATGTATTCGTTAAGGGGCTGAGGGTCGACACCTTTTGATCCACAATGGGGAGATGCCTCGTTAAAAACCTCATTAGGAAAAAACCTTGTGGGAAAAAATCCTAATGAGGGGAGAAGAGTACACCGGATGCCCCCAAAATGAAGCAAAAGGGGTGAACCCTTCGGCCTGGGTGTGGAACTGCAACCGTCGACATCTGCTAAGGGGATGGCCAAGATCGGTCCTCGTATGTGTGTAGCTTGGCATGATAAGTAGTCTCAGTCATCAAATAAAGATGACTAAGAGATAGGTCGAGTGACCGCCCATAATATGATGTCCGGGTCATCAAATAAAGATGACTGAGATATGTGACCGGGAGGCCTATATGAAGTCCAAGACATCAAATAAAGATGACCAGGAGAGCCGGCTAAGGGGCCGGTATGGTGCCATCATTTAGTTGCACCTATGCATTCAAATAAAATTGTTATAATTTCTTGAGCTTTTGATTTGCTATTGGATTTGGGCCTAATTTAAGTGGCCTCAAATTTTCAAGGTGGAGCTTAAACTAGGTTTGTATGCTTGGAGTGTGGCACGCATAAAGGATTGAACCTACCGTTGGGGGATTGCAGTTCATTTCCGATAGCTAGAGGGCACACATAACTCATACAAAACATAGAAACTAGAGTGTGTATTAGATACATTTGGATTTGGAGCTTATTATCGCCACACCCGTTTGACGTGACCCAGTGGCGCGAGTGCGTGTGCTCGCCTGGTGTACGCGATTGCTCGGGATTCATAAGTCTGTTTTTTCAATGTCACAAAATACACACTATTTAAAAAATAATGATAATAAATTAATAATCTAGCTCAACTCGTCACTCAAGTTCGTAGTTGGGATCCGCCAGACATGCGCATTTAAGGGTCTTTTAACGGATGACTCGCCCCTCGAGATTAAAGTTTGATGCTATATTATTAAAATATTTCATTTTATGTGTTTGTTTTTGCATTATTTTTTTATCAAATATGTTCACATATTAATTGTATTGGAATAATTTAAGGGTACTTAGCTTGGGAATTAGGGGTATTTTTCCCTAGTATTAGAATTAAGATATATATCAAGAAGGGATAAGAAAAACAAAAAAGGTAACTAGAAGAAAAAAGGGAAAAGTGAAAATAAAAAGAAAATATAACAAGTAGAGTGGGAAAAAGATTTTTAAAAAAAGAGAGTGATTAAGAAGAGAAAATCATAAAAATGGATATGAAATAAAAATGCAGGAAGAAAAAGAAAATGACAAATAAATCTATTTGGGAAGGAAATTTTACAAAAAAAAACACTCCTAATAGAGTGAGAAATAAAAAAATAAATATGAAAAAAAGAACAAAGGGATGGAAAAAGGAATAAAAAAGTGTTTAGGGATAAAAAATAAACTCAATCGTGCTCAGTTTTATGCACCATATCAATTACATTTTTATGAATTTTCTCGAGTTCTGGATGGAAGGATATCTTAACGAAATATGTAATCGAATGTTTAGGAAGGAATGCAAGTGTGATCTTACATAAAAGTCCGTTCTTTTGGGAGACAAAAATTCAGACTTCTTAGCTCACTTGACTTCAATTGCACTCATATCTCTCAACTCTCAAGTATTATACCAGTTCTAACCGATATACCCGATCGGGTATGACAAGGTACCCGATCGGGTACACGAGCGATTGAACCCAAATAGACAACCCAAACCCACTTCATCTTCCCAAATCTCCAAAATTTTCGAACCCCTATCACCCCAACCTCCATTTTTGAAGTTTCTCTCTACCATATCTCCCACAAATCTCAACCAAATCATCTAATGCAACCACCAAAATCTTCCTTTCACTCTCCTCTACACCCTCTGATGGATAGTCTACCCGGGGGTATATATCCGAAGGGTTATTACGGGGAACAACTTAGAGAGAGGTCAGAGCAAGTAAGTAAAAGAGAGAGTGTATATTTGATATGTATTCAGCGTGCTTACAAATGGGGAAATGGGGTGCTATTTATAGTAGCAATAAATGCCGGGTAGGGACACGTGTCAAGCGCTCATTGGCCGAGGGGTCACCTCAACTGGTTGGCGCTGGCAGCCGCATGTGGCCGCATTTAATGCGGCTGTTGGATGGGATGTCTGTACGGGGTACGGTGATCTGTATGCATGTGAGGCAGATATCTTGCCGAGTAAGGTGCCGAGGGCTCTTCCTTCCCGATGGCACCCCTGGTGCCGAGGGCTCACAGTGCAGAGGGCTACTGTTTCCGCCGTTTTCTCCCAGTTTCTTAGTTTGCTTGAGAAACCCGCTCTGCGATAATTTGGAGCCTTCGGCCAGCGGGCCGAAGGCACCCCTGTGCGTTGTGCGGACTGCTTGGTACTCTGGGCGCTGTGACTTTCGCCTGTTGGGCCTGTTGGGCCTTTGGTGGAGTAGCAGGAGTCTGCGGGCCGGGGGTTCCCGGGCCATATACTCCATCAGGAGTCCCTCACTCCTTTTGCCGAAAGGTACTTGAGGGAAAAGGAGTAATTTGTGCTTGCCCTTTGATGTTGTCCCGTTGTGATCTCTGAAGTTGGTGAGGAGTTGCTGCTTTTATGTCCCTGCCGAAGGCAGTCCCTCAGTTACCCACATGTCGGGACTTGAGGGCTTGCTTTGTTGTTTGTTGGAT